TGCAAATGAAAGAGGAAGCGGGGAACAGAGCAAGACAGCAGAAAAAGAGGATTATAAAGAAGAGGAACAAGAAGGGGAGTGAGAAATATAGCAGAGAAGGAAGAGGAGAAAGAGACAGAGTGAAAGTGGAAGAGAAGAAAATGCATAGAGGAAGACGAAAAATAAAGAAAGGAGAGAGCTGAATAGGAGACAGTGGGTTAGGGAGAGAGGGGAAAAGCAAGAGAAAAAGGTAGAGCAAAGAGAGAAGAAGGGAGGAAGAAGTGAGGTAGAGGAAGGGAATGAGGAAGAAGATTATCCATTGTAACAATGGGAAGTAAACTAAACCTTTTCTATATCTCTGTATGTATGTATATGCACACACTCCCATATATATATATATATATATATATATATATATATATATACATACAAGATAGCAAGATATGAGTATACTGTGTCTCCTCTTCCTTACTCTTTTTTTTTCTCCCCTCTTTCTTGCTCCATCTCCCATCTCCCACTCTTTCCATTTGCTCTCTTCTCTCTGTGTCTCTCTTGTTCCTCCTTTTACACTCACTCTCCTCTTCCTTCCCATCTCTTATTACACCCCCTCTCTCCTTCATCGTATTCTCTTTTTTCTTTTCTTTTTCCACCTCTTCCTCTCTCTATCTCTCTCTCCTTCTCCCTCTCTCTCTCTCTCACTTACTCACTCACTCACTCTCTCTCCACGCACTCAGATCATTTGGCGATTTTGTCAAACATAATAAATCTCGAGATCAAATATTGGCTCTGGGAAACTGACTAATTGGCAACCTCCCCCAACAGCGCACGCTTTGACTGAGACAAAAATGACGTTCAAAGCACAGAATATAACAGCTCAAAACACTAGTTATCATAAACATCATCGGATGTGTGGAGAACAGTCGCGGGGTGCCCTCAATATGCAAAATACTGGCATGCAAACCACTTTTTCTCTCACTAAGAGCGCGGGACCATGGCGAAAGGTGCCAATGAGTCAATTTTCCGGAGAGACTATTTCCTCTCGAGACACTGCTTGGTTCCACGAATCGCAAAATGAAATGGAGAAGAAAAATCCATTTCGATTTGAACTGCTTGTGTGTCTCATGGGATGAGGAGGATCTTAATACTATTATGTTGAGAAAGCAATATTGATAATGATTATAATAATGATAATTGTAACAATAATAATAAGTGACAACAATGATAATACTAATAATTATTATAATGATAATAATAATGATAATATTTTTTTTATATATATTATTGCCTTTATTAGGACATTTACTTTCACTATTATCATTACTATTCTAAGGACAATGATATACAACAGTATTGATAAAAAAAAAGAAAAACAAACAAACAAACAATGATACAACTAATAACTGTAAGAAAAGAATTGTTCCTGTTGCCTTACCAAAGCATCTTTATCATTATTATTATTGTTCTTTGTTATCTTTTATCTTCAGTTATTTTCTTATGTTTCTTCATTTATCATTTTCGCATATTTATTGTTTTGTTTTCATTGTTACTCTGTTTTAGTTTGTTTCGTTTTTAATTTTTTATTCTTATGTATATTTTTTATCTTTATTATTATCATTATTATTCCATTATTTTTTATCATCATTATCATTACTATCATAATTATTATTACAATTATCACTTTCTATGAAAATGGGCATCATAGTAAGGAGGAAATAAGGAAGAGCTGAGAACTAGGAAGGAAGATGAAAGAATGGAAAAGAAAAGAAGGGATAAAGAGAGAATAACAGTGAGAGGGAGGGAATGGAGAGAGAGAGGAAAGAGTGAAGGGAAGAACGAAGAGCGGAGGAGACACGGAGAAGAATGAGGAAAAGGGATTAAAGAAGAGCAGAAAGTAGGAGAAAAGAAGGAAGAGGGAAAAAGGAATGGGAGAAAAGGGAGTAAGAAAGAGAAATAAGAATAGAAAAAAGAAGAAGGGGACAGAGTGAAAGGGGGGTAGAGAAGAGAGTGATGGAGAAAAAAAAGAGGAAGAAAAGAGAAAACAGAAAAAAGGCCAGTAAAGGAATAAAGAGATGAAGGAAGGAAGAGAGAAAATAAAGAAGAGTCAAGGAGAAAGACGACAGAGAAAAGATGTAAGGAAGCATAATGAGAGGGGAGAGTAGAGAAAGAAAAAAAAAAAAAAAAAAAAAAAAAAGAGGAAGAGGAGAAAGGGGTGGGAGGGGGTGAGAGATTCAAAAGAAGAGAGAAATGGAGAGAAAGTGGATAAGAAAAGTAAACAAAGAGGAAAGATGGATGTAAGCCTACTAAATGAGGATGGTCAAAATGGTTAACCTCATGTGCGTGTGTTTACGTACATATGATCGTCCTTGAAAATCTTGAACTCCCTGTGACCATCCCCCCCCCCTCCCCATGGCTGACAAACTGGTAATAAATAAATAAATAAATAAATAAATAAAAATCTATCCATGACTTTTTGAGTTATCCTGTTAACCGACAGACAAACCAATGGACAAAGAAACTGATT